AATATATTCAGTTCTGAGATGACCAGGCTTATCCAGCTGCGGAAGCACTTTTATCTTAAGTTCACTTCTTGTCTAATCAGCTGTTTAAAAATCCCTGTAACATCCATTATTTCAGGACAGAAATAGGGGTGCTTCTCTCACCGATGTAAGTAAATGGCTGCCCCTCCCTCCCTCCCTGTTTCCATCCCACCCTGCCCCCACCCCCCAATCCCAACCCCACAATGCTTCCTAGGAAATGGCTTGAGTTAAGCAAATGATCAGTGATTTTCTACCTTCAAATTTTAAAAATTATTTTAAAAAAATAAATCTTTTGTGGTGGCCAGACTGTCCTTTTTTCATTGATAGGTGAAAACCACTGATCCAATGCAATGGCAAGGAAAAAAATTTTACTTCTTAAATTTGAATTTTATTTCTTATTTTTAAGTTATGAATCTTTTCATTTATTGCTTGATACTTTTGTTTTATAATATTTGGTTTCACATTTTTGGTCTGAAATATTTCTGAGTATCATTTTCTATTTCATTATCATTTCTGAAGGTATTGATTTGAAGAAAAAAATAATTTTGTCACATTGAAAATTAAATTAAAAAGTTCATTCAGGTTTTTATCATAATTTAATAGTTTTTGTCTAATGATCATTTAGAGTTAATGCTATCAATTATTGCAATAATAAAATCATTAATCTAAAATAAATGACTGTTAAATAAGATTTTGGGATTTTAAGTAATTCATACATTTAAGATGAGTCTATGGTTCAGGGTTCAACCATCTGGAAATGAAATAGATTTTGTCAAGATTATTTATTTATTTTTTTTTCTATTGGTTAATTACAGTTCAATACCAGGCAAAAAAGCATTGCGAATCCCTTCTACATACATAGGAGCCAGAATGATCTATACATTGATTGTGGGTCCTTAATATAAAGAAGAATTACTGTCTGGGTACAGATTAAAGAATTATATATAATCCAATGATAAATAGGTTTAAAAAATTTGATGTTGGTCTGATATTTATATGATATGGGCATTTACTTCAAACTGTAATTTTAATTTGAGTGATTGTGAAATGTAAAATGATTAAAAAAAAAAAAAAAATTAACTAAAGTACGTAGTGACATGATCTGGCAATAGTTTAAATAAAAAATCAAGAAACCTTCGGTCCATTATGCTTGATAAGATGACGGCTCATGTAAACATTTGGATGAAATATGACAAACTTTTATTAATTTATGTTTACCGTTAAGAGATCGTATGGCTATCTCTCCTCTCCTCAAACAACAAATCAGTAACATACTGTAGACCTATTTCCTTTGACATTTGTTGTGTCTCAGACAATCCTGTTACACGCATTGCTATGTTAGAAAGAGATTTAAAATGTATATAAAATCCATGAGTTTCGATTTCATGTGATTAAGTCTTGGCATAAAAGAGAAATGATTTGGAAAAATTCCTAATTTTTTCTAGTGGATATTTGAGTGTTTTCATCATATCATTATCACATGAATGGATCAGGTTGCTCATTTACTTCACAAATAACAAGAATGACATTCTGTAAACAAATTTGTAAAGTTTAATACAGAATACAAATTAAGATGGAATATTAATACTTCTATTTATCATGGAAAGGATTATTGTTATAAAATTTTTTTTTTGTCTAGTTGAAGGTTACATTTTTCTCTTTCCTTTAATTTTATCCAAGGCATACACGAATAAATTAAAAAAAAAAATATACATATTTTTCTATTATCAAGGATTCCTCTCGATATATTATTTTTAGCACATGTTTATTTATATTGTTTGTAGGTAATAATTGTATGTTTAAGTAACAATATTTATTTCAACACTAGCATATTTGCACCAAACAGAACTTTAATTATGTTATTTCTTGGTTATTGTTATATTACAATAAAACACAATTTATAGCCTATACTGTAGCAAATTTATAAAATCATTGCGGGCTTTTGGTAATGTGAATTTTAACATTTTGTTATTGAATTTCTTTTTTACTGTTAGTATTTACACAAAAATTCATCTTCAACATGAAAAGTCTTCATTACTTTGCATGAATATTCATTATTGACTAAATTTAAGATTGACATGAACATTTATTGTTATTCTTACATGAACATTCAATTGTTATATTATATTTAAAACTCACCATCGTTATATTAATTTGAAAATTTTTCATTGCCCTGATAAAACATGTAGTTATTTCCATTTCCCTGACGTCATTGAATTGACCACGTGTCCGTATTTGTAATTAACCTGAGACGTCTTGTTCTAAATCCTCAGTACCAGCATGCTTCATGTGATGACAACCAGTTCTGATGTGGACTTTACAAACAGGTAAGTTGCTTTGTCCTGAGATCTTCAAGTCTCAACTTATGAGCTTGAGAACAAAAGTACTGTCAGGACAAAACACAGCACCAAATACAAAACACTGCACCAAATACAAAACACTGCACCAAATATTTCTGATCATTCATCCTTCTGATGTTTATTTACCTGCCAGCGATTATAACTGTAAAATTAAATTTTGATTTTTACTGTAATACTGAATGTTGGTGTGATTTTTCTGAGTTTCAAAAATATTACAAATGAGGACTCTTCCCCCCCCCCCCCCCCTTTTTTTTTCCAACCCAAGCTGTATATTAATGAGAACTTGAGAAAATCCATGGATCTGCAAATTCTCTAGTTTGCATTAAAAGTTTAGAGAACTTGTGATCATATAATATGTCTGGGGAAATGAAATACCTTGCAATAGATATTTTAAATCATTTATTGGCATAAATCTAAATTAATACAAAGGATTTTCAAGCTTTCAGAACTGGTGGGGGTATGGGGTGTGGTGGGGGGTGTGGTGATGGGTGTGGTGGTGTTGCTATCACCTGAGAAGTTGTAAAGTGGCATTCCAGGTAGTACGAGGAAAAGTGATTATGAGAACAGAGGAGACATTAGATTTTAGGTTTGGAATGTTATTATAATTTATAAAAATGTTAAAAAACTATTAAAAAAAACAACCTTTACAATTTCCTTTGTGAAATAGATAAAAAGTTCATTTTCTGAGATCTGCAGTGCTCTTTGCAAATCATTAAATAAATTTGAAGTCCATTAATTTCAAATTTAAAAATACACTGTCACTCTTATAGGGGCTGCGACACTTAGTAAAACAATTTATATGTGACGTGCAGTCAAATAATTTTTAGGGGGAGGAGAATATAGAAATGGTTGGTAAAACACTGGATAAAGTCATTTTTGCTTTGAAAATGTAAGACACCTCTGAATTTTCCTTTCTCTACTTCAGCATGCTTAGAGTGGACCATGATGGTGACCTTTATGGCTTGTCTTCATCGTCATCAGTGGTCTCCCCTGGGCCAACCACAGCCCACTCCGCCCCTGCCACCCCTACCCACAACCCTGAAGGAAGTGTAGATGTTGGGTACAGAGCGGGCTCTCACAGGGGATTTTTCCAGGGACTTCTGGGATGCCTCAGACCCGTCTGGACAATACTTGGGAAGGCAGCAGCTGCAGAACTCAAACAACAAGGTCAGTTGGTAGCATACATGGAAACAATCCCCAGGTGGACATGTTTCTTTTTTAACGAGACACCAAAAACAATATGCAAAAACAAATAGCCGTAGAGGATTACAAAAAAAATATAATTATTAATAACTTATTGTATTATTTTTCAATCATTTATTATATTATTGTGCCATAAAATCAATCTTTTCATTTTTAATTGGTTTTGATTTGTTTTAAACAGAACAAATTTCTTTGGTAAGTTGTACTGTTAAATAGTTGTGTGGGTATCCCCACGAAGTCTCTTATATATATTGCTATTATTAATCATATCACTATTGTTTCATTCCCCTTACACCAAAACTGTTTTTTAATTACCTATTTTTTGTTTTGATACCAGGTTTTCTGATAACTATTACAATTTTTTTTTTTCCTTTCCAGTTTCTTCCTCTGACGACTGGGAAATCCCGTTTGAAAGCATCACAGATCTCCAGTGGCTGGGCAGTGGGGCTCAGGGGGCTGTGTTTTTAGGCAAACTTTGTAATGAAGAAGTTGCTGTGAAGAAAGTCCGGGACGTGAAGGAGACTGACATCCGCAATCTCAGGAAACTCAATCATCCAAACATCATCTCTTTCAAGTAAGTGCTGTACAAGTGTCATGAAGCATACAGTACAAGTGTGGTGAAGCATGTGGTACAAGTGTGGTGAAGCATGCAGTACAAGTGTCATGAAGCATGCAGTACAAGTGTGGTGAAGCATGCAGTACAAGTGTGAAGCATGGGATACAAGTGTGAAGCATGCGGTACAAGTGTGGTGAAGCATGCAGTACAAGTGTGGCGAAGCATGCGGTACAAGTGTGTTGAAGCATGCGGTACAAGTGTGGTGAAGCATGCGGTACAAGTGTGGTGAAGCATGCAGTACAAGTGTGGTGAAGCATGTGGTACAAATGTGGTGAAGCATGTGGTACAAGTGTGGTGAAGGATGTGGTACAAGTTTGGTGAAGGATGAGGTACAAGTGTGGTGGAGCATGTGGTACAAGTGTGAAGCATGCAATACAAGTGTGGCGAAGCATGCGGTACAAGTGTGGTGAAGCATGCGGTACAAATGTGGTGAAGCATGTGGTACAAGTGTGGTGAAGGATGTGGTACAAGTTTGGTGAAGGATGAGGTACAAGTGTGGTGGAGCATGTGGTACAAGTGTGAAGCATGCAATACAAGTGTGGCGAAGCATGCGGTACAAGTGTGGTGAAGCATGCGGTTCAAGTGTGGTGAAGCATGCGTAACAAGTGTGGTGAAGTTTTTTATCTATCTATCTTCTCATCTTATCTTACCTTATCTTACCTTATCTATCATATCTTTCTTATTTTATCTATCATATCTTTATCTTACCTTTATCTTATCTTATCATCTTATCTATCATCTCATCTTATTATCTTATCATCTTATATGATCATCTTATTTCATCTATCTTATCTTTTATCTCTAGGGGTGTGTGCACCCAGGCACCTTGCTACTGCATTATTATGGAGTACTGCCCCTATGGCCAGCTGTATGAGGTGTTACGGGATGGCAAGGAGATCCCGCCAACTCTGGTGTTGGACTGGGCTAAACAGATAGCCAGCGGGATGAACTATTTACACTCACACAAAATTATACATCGAGACCTCAAGTCCCCAAAGTAACAATTGCCATAATTGATTTTTCATTCATTTTTTAAAATTGATTCTTTTATGTCAATCAGCTATATCAAGTATGGTTAAACTAAATAATGGGATCATGATGTTATTGTTACTTGAAATTTTAAAGTAGTAAGCTGCCAATGCCTATTGAAAAATTATATTACAAGAGCATCAGTTTCCTGCATTTGAAATAGTTTTTTAAAATAATAATAACTTTAAAAAATATCTTATATACATTTGAAAATAATACAATGAGGGATAAACTATTTAAAAGATTGATTTTAATACACATTTTAGGGTAAAAAATATTTTGGAAATGTTATTCTGAGAATTTTGTTGTTTCACCTCAACAGCGTGCTGGTTGCTTCCAATGATATTGTAAAAATCTCAGATTTTGGAACTAGTCGAGAGTGGAACGAGAAAAGTACCAAAATGTCTTTCGCTGGAACCGTCGCCTGGATGGCACCCGAGGTTATTAGAAATGAAATGTGCAGTGAGAAGGTGGACATTTGGTGAGGATCTATTTATACAAGATTAAGATTTACAACTTGCCACTTGAACTTTGTCTAAACGACGCCGATTAGAATTCTTCCCTTTTCTTTCAGTTTTATTTTTGTCATTAATCTTTTTGGTCTGCTTATGGAAATAAAGGCAATTTGTAAATAAAGACAATTTTTAAATAAAGACAATTTTTAAATAAAGACAATTTGGACATAAAGACAATTTGGAAATAAAGACAATTTGGACATAAGACAATTTTCTCATCCAAAGGAAATCATTCAATTCCATTTCTATAAAATCTCTCAATTTTGGGATTAAAAGTCTTTTTGGTGAAATATCAAAGCTATCTACGTTCTGATGAAATATCAAAGCTATCTATGTTCTTATGAAATATCAAAGCTATCTATGTTCTTATGAAATATCAAAGCTATCTACGTTCTGATGAAATATCAAAGCTATCTACGTTCTGATAAAATGTCGAAGCTATCTACGTTCGGATGAAATATCAAAGCTATCTACGTTCGGATGAAATATCAAAGCTATCTACGTTCTGATGAAATATCAAAGCTATCTACGTTCTGATGAAATATCAAAGCTATCTACGTTCTGATGAAATATCAAAGCTATCTACGTTCTGATGAAATATCAAAGCTATCTACGTTCAGATGAAATATCAAAGCTATCTACGTTCTGATAAAATGTTAAAGCTATCTATGTTCTGATGAAATGTCAAAGAGATTACTTATAAGATATTTTCTTAATATCTGGAAGGAGCAGGAAAAGTATAATTTTTACTTCTAAAGGAAAAACTGAAAAACATTGATTGCTAGTAAACCACAAACCAACTGTGATGTTAACAGAACAAAGTCCAAGGCAACTGTAATGTTAACAGACCAATGTTCAAGGCAACTGTAGTGTTAACTGAAGAAAGTCCAAGGCAACTGTAATGTTAATAGAACAGTCGGGGAAACATAATATTGCACCTCTTACGGCTGTGTGAAGTGCAACCATCATTTTTAATGAGGCACTCAAAGTTCAGAACTTTGTTACAATTTTTATTACACGACTTGAATTTATTAACTGACACATGTCCAATTCTACCATTATAGATGTCACTGGTTATGATTTTAATATCATATTTTATTAAAGTTAATATCCAAGATAGCCTTCAATTTTAATATGAGAACTCAAATATTGTTTCACACTAAAGATCATGTATCATGTGTAGTGAAATTAATATAGTTCAACATTCTTGTACTCATCTCAAGTCTTTACTCCATAATCAACGCCCTTCAAGGACTATCAACGACCATCAACGACTAACCATGACCATCAATGACTATGTGGATTTAATTCATTGAAGTAATGCTACTAAGTTCTGTTTTTCTTACCACCCAGGTCATATGGAGTTGTACTGTGGGAACTGCTTACAGCTGAAGTGCCGTATAAGGATGTAGACTCTTCAGCTATAATCTGGGGAGTTGGCAGTAACAGCCTTCACCTTCCTGTTCCAGGGACATGTCCTGAAGGGTTCAAACTCCTCATGAGACAATGCTGGTGGGTGAACTATTTATTTTTAAAGGAATCAAGTGTTTTCTTGTAGGCATATTCTTCAGTAAAAAAGCTATGACACATCCACTGTTATGTCCTAATTACAAAAATGTTCTATATTAAACTCACACTTAGGATCCTGTACAATCAGTTCAATTAACATTCAAAATTCATAGTAGTTTTATTAATATTTTTAGTAATAATTACAATTTTTAAAAAATGTCTTTTTTGCATTTCCTCATACTTTTATCACAGTAAATGACTCTTGAAGTTTAAAAAAATTTTTTTTTACTAATAACTTCTCCCAGTCAATAGAGGTAATACATAACAATAATATGGCCCGCTAGTTTTTATGTTTTGTAACATACAAGCGTAATTAAAGGCTAGTAGCTGTGGGGTCAGAGCCAATCTTTCCGGCATCAGTTTGTTCTATTGTCATGAACCATTTGTTGTGTCTGACCCACCAGGAGTGCTAAGCCAAGAAACAGGCCGTCCTTCAGACAGATCCTCATGCACCTGGAGATTGCATCCACTGACCTGCTAAACTACTCACGGGAGGACTTTGCAGAATCCCAGGTAGGACTTGGATCAAATTTATACTTGGAAATGATTTTTATTCCCCATCACTTCATTTGATCCCTTTGATATTTAATGTAATGGTGTGTCAGCTATTGATTATCTAATGGTGTCTTAAGCATTGATTATCTAATGGTGTCTTAAGCATTGATTATCTTATGGTGTCTTAAGCATTGATTATCTAACGGTGGCTTAAGCATTGATTATCTAACGGTGGCTTAAGCATTGACTATCTAATGGTGTGTTAGGCATTGACTATCTAATGGTGTGTTAGGCATTGACTATCTAATGGTGTGTTAGGCATTGACTATCTAATGGTGTGTTAGGCATTGACTATCTAATGGTGTGTTAGGCATTGACTATCTAATGGTGTGTTAGGCATTGACTATCTAATGGTGTGTTAGGCATTGACTATCTAATGGTGTGTTAGGCATTGACTATCTAATGGTGTGTTAGGCATTGACTATCTAATGGTGTGTTAGGCATTGACTATCTAATGGTGTGTTAGGCATTGACTATCTAATGGTGTGTTAGGCATTGACTATCTAATGGTGTGTTAGGCATTGACTATCTAATGGTGTGTTAGGCATTGACTATCTAATGGTGTGTTGGGCATTGACTATCTAATGGTGTGTTAGGCATTGACTATCTAATGGTGTGTTAGGCATTGACTAGAAAAGAATAAAAAAAGTATAAAAGTTTAGTTTTTATGAGAATAAATATTTAAAAAATTTTTATTATTTTTTTAAAATTACAACTTAAAAAAATAAACAAAAAACTTTAAAATTGACCCAGACCAGGTATTTATACCCCCCCCCCCAAACCTCTTGTTGGAAATTCTCTTCCCCCCCTCCCCCCATAACTTATTGAATTGGTTTTTTTTCCTTCATTTTTTGTTCTTGCATTATATGGCCTTATGAACTATTGATCTCCTGCATGTGTCTGATGATCAAATCAGCTTTCCTGCGTCAAATGTGTCCTTTATAAGAATTTTCATTCTATCAAATTATCTGGACCAAAGTAAAATAAAAACAACCAAATAACAGATGTGAATATTTTATAGTGATTAAGAGAAATGGAAAGGAGAAAAACCTTGAACCCCTCATGTGAAAGTCATTCAGACTTTGAATTAAATTTTTTCTTAAGGTGTAAAGAGATCAAAAGAAATATTGATTTATTAAAACAACATTTTTTGGTGTGTATCTTGGTCTCATCTTCCAAGCTTTCATCTTTCAAAAAAACCAATCCTTCGGCTAGAAACATTTCTGAATAGTTATGCAATATTTTTTCAAGCTCTTTATATTCCGCTGATATTTTTCAGTCTATATGGAGAAAAGAAATCCGAGAAAACTTTCAGAAAATGAAAGCAGAGGGATCCAATCTCCCCCAGTTGGAGGAGGAGCTAATCAAAAGAAGGAAAGAGGAGTTGAGGTAACTGTTTGGAAGAGCAGGGCGGGCATGTCCTACACAATGATGATCTGATTGTTAATGATGTCATTTCCAATCATAATAATATTATATGTCATGACATTTCCAATCCTAATAAGATTATTTATAAGTGATTCCATTTCCAATCAAAATAAGATTGTATGTGATATGATGATTTGCTTGTAAATTATGTCACATCTAATGAAGCCTTCAATAAAGATGAGACTTTTGGTAAATTCACCTTCATTCATGCTGAGCTTGCATGTTCTGTCATCTCTAATCATTTCAATCATCCTGAGATTGCATTTTCTGTCATCTCAAATCATTTCAATCATCCTGAGATTGCATGTTCTGTCATCTCAAATCCTGATTAATTGTACGTAGTTTCATCTTCAGTGAGGGAATTTTTAGGCTTAGATTACATAATACCATAAGAATAGTTTTAAATTGGTTTCAGTTTGTAAGCTTTGATTTATAAGAGTTTCCACCACCTTCAAATTTTCTCTTTAATAACATATAAAGAAATTAAGCCATGGCTTTGCACTTGAAAATCTGATTGTGGACAGTAATGAATTTAAACATTTTTTAAAAACATTTCCCTTTGTTTAGACACGCACAAGATGTCAGGGAACATTACGAGAGAAAGCTTGAACGCGCCAACAATTTGTATATGGAGCTGACGGCATGTATGCTACAGCTGGAGAAACGTGAAAGGGAACTAATCAAGTATGTCACTTAAAAGTTCACTGACTCCGTGTGATAAAAAAATAACGTTTGATTTTCAATTTTTTAAAAAATTCGTCAATTTCTCTGTGTTTATTACTTATACCGAAGTAGGAAGGCCGCAGCCAATTTAGGATTTTAAATTTAAAAAATCAGCTGTCTACTTATAAATAGCTGCAGTCTCACTATGTCAACTTACAATGCTCTGAATAATAAACGAAACGTTAAACTTTTTAAAATGAAGCTTATTAGATTATTGAAATATAATACACTACTTAAAATAGCTAGCCAACGGATATCAGAAGTATTCATTGCTGTTTCTTTGTTTGCCTTGTTCAGACGGGAACAGCAGTTAACCTTGTACAACAAACGCAGAAAAAGTATTGTCCGACCAATCATCAAAGCCCAGGAGAAACTGGACAGACTTGGGAAAAAACGAACTCATCGGTCAGGATCCGAGGTCACCACGTACGTATACGTTTTCTCATCCTTCTCTGGTTTTGATAAGGCTGTGTTCTAGCAGCCATCACTTTTTAGCTTGGTGTTCTCATCAATGCTGACTGATGCTTCAGTTGACAATAATGATGGCATTTCTATAAGATACAGGACAGACGGAGGGCTAGTTAATCTTAGGAGACTGCAAAGTATTACGATAAATTAGATTTTAAGTTGATGATGGCTCTGCATGCACGCGATGCTGGTTTTCACACCCTATGGGCACTTCTTTCCCACTGTAATCTATGAGATGCTGTTTACATTTAAAAGCTGTAAGTGTAAGTGTAATCAGCTGAGTCTTGTCAGATGTTTTCCAGAGCCTGTTTTATGTTGATTGTTATAAATCACATAAGTGTTACATTTGGCCCTGCTGGATAATGTTAGCACATTCGTGAAATAAACTAGGGCTTTTGGGTTTCAGTTTTTCTATGGGTCATACGCAGGTCATCCACAGCAAGGTACAAATAGCTTGGGGAAAAGAATTCTTCTGGCCAGAAAGGCAGCAATTCTTGGACAGGAGGTAAATCCTGAGTAAAAAAAAGAAAAAAGCCAAGTTGGACGCCAACAGCCAAAACTGCTAGGCATTGAAAATTGTTGGTCTACGCTGTCAGGAAACAAAATACAAATTAGAGTTCGGTGTCAAACAGGAAAAAATCCATTGCTTTGAAAAACTAATAGAATGTCAGCTTTAAAAGCTTTTAGAGCAGTGGGTCTTGACATAAGGAAGGTTGAGAACCGCTGTTCTAGAGTACTTAAAGTTCTTTAGTGTTGTCAACTTGACACGTGATATTATTTCTTAAAAATTGCTTATCTATTCTGTGCAGGCCTGACTCCATGAAGAACACAGAAGGCAGCATGACAACCAGCTCAGAACTTGTACTTCCATCACCAACAAAAATGAGAGCCAGAAAGTCTCGACATCGCCGAAACAACAGTCGGGGCTCCATGAAAGATATCATCTCTCCAGTGAAATCACCTCCTCGGGAGGCATTTCATGATAATCAGGCCCCCGATGTCTTAAATCCCGCCGGTCTGCACCATATAGAACATTCACCGTATCCTGGGACTTTCAAATTCCTTGGCCCCGCAACTGCCATAAGAGAATACAGGAGTGAAGATGAGGCGGAGGGGGCGGAAAGTCGACTCTGCCACATGGAGAACAACATTAAAAAGCGTCAAGAGTGCTGCAACAGATCCCCAGCGGTCAACCCAAGCAACACAAGGTCACCAGTGTCCAGCTCTGCCAGCAGGCGGTCACCCGTGGCCAAACGGAATACTTCATATAAAGACAGTAATGTCAACAGTGACATTTGTTTTGGCTGCGATGGGGCATGCAGTGACGTCACCTGTAGCAGCAAGCGGTCATCACAAGTCAGTGCTGACGTTGAGAGCACTTGCGACCTGTCACCCCTGCCTAGTCCAAAACATCCCCCGCTGGAGACCATGAGCGAAAAGTCCTCACCCGATGTAGACTCCTCTTCCCGACCTGAAACCGGGTCAGGGTCGTGCTCCTGTTCACCTATGGCCTCTCCAGCTGAGATCCCACATACTCAATCAAATCCGGTGCGAGAAAAAGATTCTAATGAAAACCTGAACTATCCAGATAATACCTCAAACACAGAGAACTCTCTAATGAACTCTAGTCAACAACAAGAAAGCACGTCAAACGTCGGGTGTCCAACAACCAACAACTCAAATGCTATAAATAGCATCACTAACTCCACCACAACTAACAATCAGTTGACCATTGGGTCAGGGGTCAAAAGGGTGCACAGCAGCCAGGATATGGTGAGGAGGCCTAAAACTCGCAGTCCTTCATGTAGGAGGAGGAGCTCTGAGGGGAGGTGTTACGAAAACTCTAGGGGCTATGAAGTGATTGAAAGTAGGTCGCCAGAAGCAGACATTCATCAGACGGGGAGTGAAAAGAGAAACAAAGAGGAGGTGGATGCAGAAAACTCTGTGCTGAGCAGGAATACAAAGGTAACTACTTTTAAACTGGTCAGACCCAGGAACTAAACTGTTTGAAGTCGTGAAGCTATTTATTGAAGTCTTCCGAAGTTACCTGATCAGGACCGTAGAATGGGTACAGTACAAAACATATAGCAGTTCTTTTCATAGACCCTATAATGGGTACAGTACAAAACATATAGCAGTTCTTTTCACTCATTATTGATGTTTCAGCTTTGTATAAATATTAAACCCTAATTGGTATAACTCCAAAGTGGTCTAATTCTAAACTGATCTAATTCTAAACTGATCTAATTCTAAATGGGTCTAATTCTAAATTGATCTAATTCTAAATGGATCTAATT